CAAAAAGTCAAAAACAGAATAGAAGTATAATTATCTATACAAAGTATGATTGAGTTTGACACTTTATTATTCATTATTGTGTTGTCACATCACATGCAACTAGTTTCAACTAAGTTGAACATTTTTATTTTTAGCTGTGTGAATAGTTGCTTTTAAAGTATTTGGCTTCTAATTTCTTGCTTCCCAAGTTTAATAATAGCAGCACAGTGGCCTCTTTCTCTGTTATGTACTCATGTTCTGTTCTTAAGAAAAGTAAGAAGCTACCCAAATACAACAAGACAAAATGAATATTCCCCCAGCGTAGTTTTGAATAAAGATAAATTCAAGATGAGTAATTTCTGATAACTTCGGAGTAATAAGAAGTGACTCGGTTCAATTTACAATTAAAATACTTCAAATACGATAAGTTTATATAAAAATTATATGCACACCCTTAGTATTCTATGCTACTCGTGTTCACTATTCGTTACTTCCTTTGTCCCTTTATGTTTGTCTTTTCTTTAAAATAAAAATAAAAATCGGTCTCCTACTCTTTTCGTGTTTGATTAATCGCAACAATAATCATTGCACATAATTTTATGTAAATTATAGGATATTGACCAAAGTGAGAGTTTTATACTCTCTGGTCCAATCCTGTTTGTTCTTCTCATTTGGAAAAACATTTTCGTCCAATAAATATTTGATACCTTCATATGCTATAGCAACCCGATGAAAAGTAACAATAGCAATTAAAGGGTTGAATATACAAGGAAATGACCTAATAACATAAGACTACTCGTAGATAAATCTGTCTAAAGTCAGGGCTCAAGCGTTTAATACTTTCTCAAATTGAGGAGGGACTCGAAGCAAAGGGGCTTGAAAGTCCCCGGGTTTTCCGAGTTGGCCACATGCAGCCATTTGATCATCACCCCTACTAAGGCGTAAGAAGACAGTGCAACCACCAGCTGCCAGAACATTCCGGAATTCAATTATCTTGTCCTCTTTGGTTGGCTTGAAGCGAGAACCACTATGAGGATTAAACTGGATTAGGTTGATCTTGCATGGTATGTCTTGAACAAGATTAATAAGCCTCTTCGCATCCTCCATGCTGTAAACCATGAACAAGTAGTAATTCAGGAAGTAAATCACAAAAAAAAAAAAAGAAAAAAAGTGTATGGCGAAAAGCCTAGGCCTAGGGGTAACTTGAGAAACTGCACATAAATGACCCCCAATTGATCAGAGAACACTAAAAATACCCCAAGATATGCAGGCAACTACTTAATAATGCATTTAAAGAGGACTAACCTATTTGACATTATACTAACTGTAGCAAGACTGCAAGAGGCTGTACAACACAAAGGAACTAACCTGTCATTGACTCCAGCAAGCATTACATATTCAAAGAGAACTTTGTAATTATGTCTATGTCGCAATTCATCCCTAAGTGTTCCAAGAAGTAGTTCCAAGTTATACTTCCGGTTTATTGGCATGATCCAGTTCCTCACCTGAAAGTTTACCCTCGGGTTGTTAGCTATATCTTCCATCTTTACGAGAATTACAAACGAAGAGGAAAGCGCCTGGGGCTGTAGCATATTACCTCGTCAGTAGTAGCATTCAAACTAACAGCAAGAGCACAATTGGATTCATGAAGAAAACGCTTCAATTGTGGGACCAGTCCACTGGTTGAAATTGTAACTTTCCGCGGACTGAAATGAAGTCCTTGGTCATCCACCATTACATCTGCTGCTTTCACGACATTGTCAATATTCTGAAGTGGTTCTCCCATGCCCTACAGGATACATTTTTGACACAATCAGTAAAAGAGCAACCAATTATCAGGCAACAAAACAATTTATATGCTGCATATACTACTGTTAGCCTAGTCATAGTATTTGCAATAATCACTCAGTAGCAGGGGTGGTCGAGAAATTTGACAGCCCATCTTCCCACCCTGCTTAAGGTGTGAGCATCTTTAAGGCAATACTATCTTGTTGACTATTGTTGTTACTGCGCAAGCCAAGATCAACTGTAAGCATATCAAGCAAAACTAAACAGTGACCAGTCTTACGTGTGATTAAAAAGATAAAAAAAAAAACATATTACACACAAATTTAAAATGCACAGCGTGATTCTCTCAGGCAGTGGTTGACAAAACAAAGTATCATACTTGGCAAAAGGATAAAGGAAATTCTCTACGCTACAAGCAATTAATCTAAAATCAGACACTTACCATGAAAACAACATTGGTAATTGACCCAACTTCCTCTGTGAACAAACGTCGAGCAAATACAGCCTGTTCTACAATCTCAGCAGCAGTTAGGTGCCTCGTTAATCCCATCCTGAAAAGTAAAATTCTTAATGACTGCTGAGAATAATGTAGACAACATGTCATGAGAATTAACTTATGATAGAACCTTGCCTTCCAGTGAAGCAAAACTGACAATTCATGGCACAACCCACTTGACTTGAAACACACTGTATTTCTTCCCCGATCACAAGGAATAATAACTGTTTCGATTACCAGTCCATCCTCCAAAGTGAATAATATCTGCAAGCTCCTGTGAAGTTCAGGATCATTGAGAAGATTTTTATGTACAAAAAACAAACAATGGAAAGAAACACACTGAGAAATTTTATTCGCTCAACAAAAAATAATACATGGTAAAAGTGGCCATCGCACTAATGAGAAAGTTCCTTTTCACCTTTTTAGTTCCATCAGATGCTGAGCGAACCTCTTTCAGAGACAAGGCCCTAACATCTGCATGAGCACTCAGCATTTTTCTGAAATCTTTGTTTAGACCTATGGGATGAAAAAATAAATTTTATCAACAAAGAGCTTGACAGAAAAAATCAAAATATAACTACATCCATTTCAAAATATTAAGCCACATTTATTTTGAGTTTGCTAACTTTCGATATAATGCAACAAATTGTTGCTATGTTTACTAAAAATAAAGACCCTTCAACATATTTTAGCTGCCTTGAAAATCAACGAAAATGAGACAATGAAAATCAACATATTGAATACGGCCAATCTTTTACAGATGAGGAATTTAATGTTTAGTAGCTAGAGAAAATTAAATGGAAATTAATGGGACAAACAAAACCAGATTCAATGTGCAAGCCAATTACCTTCCAATTCATCACTAGAATGAGCCCAAATGTTGTCACCATAGAGACGTTTCCACAACATCAGCGCCTGACCAGGCTTAAACCCATGTGATTGAACCCATTTCTGTCAAAATCAAATTTCAAATGAGAATTCAACAATAAATAATTCCACCAAAAGGCAACAAGTAGTGGTACGATCACAAATTTTTATCACAGCATGGTGGACCTTCAAGCTTAGGCAATATGTACAGAGTTGATTCACATTTCACACAAAAGAACTTAGCCATTGACTCTCTTTGGATGTAGTGATTCCAATTTAGTTGGACTGGAATTCCTCACATTAGAATCTACTATCCAAAAGTCCACATCTAAATCCAAGTCAATCAAACCTAAAACATTTATGCTTGTATCATTTCCTCTCCCAAAGTTCAAGATTGACCATAAAAAATACTTCCTAAAACCGTCCCCTATGCCCCTACTCATCAATAATCATACTGCGTAGATGGTTGCGAAATGTGAACGCAAATGCCATAAGCACACGTATTGACATTGTACTCCGTATAAAGGCTTCACAATGATGGTACTCACTATCTCAATTCTCACCGGAACCTAAAGACGATTCAAGTATCAAATTTACTAACTCGCTGTTTCAAGTAAAATACAAAATGTGAAAATGTTCAGTCTCATATGAAGTGCAAGTACTGAAATTCGGGTTAAAAGAACATCAAAACGGACAACTCGGAAATCGAAAACCAGGGCTAAGAACAAACAATTCTCAACTTCCAATTTTTAATTTGCAAAGTCCAGTGTCATACACACAATGTACAAAAGTGTTAACTTAAATAGAATCATTTATGCAAAAACTCCAGCCGTCATGAGGAAATACAAGTATCTCCGTGATAAACAAATTTCAATTATCATACCACATCATAAATTCACAGGAACATAGAAATTAACATAAAACTAATCAAAATAAAAAAAAAGACCCTTTTTTCTAAAATTAAGAGAATAAATCAACATACTTCAAGCTCGTGATATCTCATTTTCTTGATCAAAGTCTTCGGTTTCTCTTCATCGGACTTAATTTCAGCAGCTCCTACACCAAAAGAGAAAAAATAATAAGAAGAATTCCAATTTTGTAAGGAAAAAATTATAATTAAAAATGATTTACCAGAAAAAAAGGAATGATTTGGGATGGAATGGAGAGGATAGAAAGGAGAAGAAGCGGTGGCGGAAAGAGAGCGGCGGCGATGGTGGGATGGGAGGAGAGGGAAGAGAATTGGAGATGATGATGTGGAAGGTGGAAAATGAAGGGTGGAGATTGAAGGAGAAGGAGAAGGAGAAGTAGAAGTGAGAAGTAGAGGATTAAAACCCAGAACAATACGCCTCATCCAAATGCAACTTCTCTCCATTTCTGTGTATTCTCACAACAAAGGAAGGTGAGTAGGGTTTATCACTTCAACTGTAATTACTGGGCAGCAGTTTAGCATCACCAGTAATTCAATTGGTTGATTAAGGACTGAAACGACGTCGTTTTGAGAGATAATACTGTAGAACAAACCTTTGTCAAAAAATTAAATATAGGTAATAAAAACCAAACGTTCTCAACTGATGTTTTGTCAATAACCAAGTTGAGTTACAAATATCAATTTAACATGTAATCGGCTTTAATTAATTAAGCGGATCAATTAATTAGCCAAAGCGGGCACCACAAGATTTCATGTGTGTCAAATTATGCATATTTGATCGATTAACACAGATTTTATACAAGTTTGAGAGACAGATGGTGCAGCATCACTACTTTAATGTTGTGAGAGATGCGCAAGTTATCCATTCTTAAGCCTGTTTTGATGATGATACTCAGGCGTGGTGCTTCAAGATTAACTTGTGTATGATTAGCAAGTAAAGACTTTCCAAGAGCTTCCATTTTCCCATTATTTTTTTTTAAAAATCTTTTCTGACAGCAAATATGTAAAATGAAGTAGGGAAGCAACAATACCAACAACAGCAAACGTTGGAGCAGCAGTTAAAGAAAAGATTATTCAAGCAACAGCAGCTTCTACTTCTCTAGCAACTATTGTAAAATTCTTTTCGAAACAATTGTACATGAACTGGGCGTTTCCCTATTGCAGATTAAAATGAAACAAAAAGGGTCAAAACCTTGAGTTATACAACATCAACTGTGCTTCGTACTCAGGTTAGTCTACATTGCATAAACGGTGAAACCAAGATAATACGTTGTTCTCTTGGTGCCGGATTCTTTTGTAGGCTCAGTTACACTGATGCAGCAATTTTCAAACTTGGATAAACCGTTTGCTGTGCAGACCTGAGGGCTGTGGCTAGAAAGCCAACAAAGTGAAATTTGCGGTACCAGTCTGAAAGTCTCTAGTCCCTGAAACATAAGATGCCAACATATTAGTTTAGGCCAAACAAATTGATTAACTATTCAAAATATTTCAAGTTAAAATGTATTAATGGCCTGTTTTGGAATTTTATATCTACACAGTAGCTGAATTATAAGTTAGTGAACCAGAAATATTATTTTACAAACAAATCAAGCAATGGACCTAGGTTTGATCCCTACAAACCCATGTCACACGAAGATGCCTCCCAGTTCAGTTATCCTACCCACCTGTATCCTACTGTTGTTAATTTAAGCTATTATTTTAAAGGGGAAGCTACATAAACTATTCCACGAAAGATTATAGGTGTACAGAAACCTTATTTTACTGACGAAATAGAATAGATAGTAAATGTACTTAAAATCAAAACTTGTAGGCATATTTAAAAAATAAAAAAATAAAAAAAAATTCAATGATGAGGAATCAGAAAGTAAAGGTAGGTAGCTTAGTAGTTATAGCTCCAAGTTAACTACTCATGGAACACACACACAAACATGACTCAAAGAATATCAATACAGACTTCAGCAACTACATCAAAATAAATAGGAAAAGTAAAGAAATATGTCCACCTCATAACTTTATTTTCTGTCCTTGGGTTTTCCACCTTAGACACTTATTTTTGACCTTGTTTGGGGTCAGCTGGGAGCCTGGGTGCAATTGTTCCATTAAAGATGCTCAAGTAGCTTGGATAAAAAGGATGAAAAATAAGTGGCTTGCTGAAGCATGTTAGATGATTTTGTTAATATTTGGCTGAACACTAGCCACTAGGAGAGTAAGAAACCAAAGGATTTTTTGGGCATAGTCTCGGCAAGGTTTCCTTTTCAAGGCATTAGTACAGCTATAGTCAACTTTTAGGTCCTGCACAACTCCCCTCATCTTGAGTTTGTTAATAAATTGCTCTGCTCTATGTCAGTTCTAGGGCATGAGTTTTGGGCCTACGCTAATGCTCTCTAAAAAGTCATAATACTGGCAGATATTACATTCCTTTAAAGCCTATGAAGTTCAGCATCAACAGAGCAAGAGCTATTTTCTTTCAATCCTGCATGTTTTATACGAAATATAGGCTGCAGCGGGCCGAGAACTTCCCCTTCAAGACATCAGCCCCGAAATTCCCCCATAGCACACTATGTAACATTTCTATATCCATGGACATCATTTTCCTCCATGCTTCATATCTACCTCTATGATACACCTTTAACCTTCTAGAGGTAATCTCCATTCCCTATCACAGAATATCCGTATCTCACACAAGGAATCACCTTGCTCTCCAAATCCATTAATGTAAGCCATTACAGACAGTCCCATTCATTCACCCATTAAAAGAAGAAGAATTAGCATTGATTGAAGATGCCATCATAAATCTAGCTAATTCCAACAGTAATAGTCAACCTTCACAAACACAGCCAGTAGGCAAAGTCAACAAGCCCAAGCAATAACAGCATAGCTGCTTCTGCACATAGAAGGTACGGATTGAACATAAAAATACCTACTCTTCCCTGGAGGGGCTAATGCTTGTTGTTGTTGCCATTTTTCCCTCCCCCAATACACAACACACACACACACACACAGAGGAAGCCCATCCCATGGAGATTGCAGCTTTGAAATCTCTCATTAGAATACAGTGAGACCCCTAACAGCTTCAAGATGGATTAAAATGCTTTAGAAGAGTTGCATCATTTCTCACCAACTAGCCACAAATTTAGATGGTCCAAATAAAACCGATTGTTACAGGCCAAAAATAGAAATCCATGGATAAGGTGTCAACTGTTAATAATGTCTACATCCTATAATTATAATGGTGTCAACATGTACATAATTTTGAAGCCTATGGATTTCAGCATCAGGTTAAATATCTGCCCCTTCAAGAAATTAGCCTCAAGAAAAATCTCCTCAAACTTCAAAGGGTCATCTCCATTTCCTGACATCATCAGTACGCAGCACAAGAATTCACCTCTGCCCCCCCCCCCCCCACACACACACACACCCAAAAAAAAAAAAAAACAAAAAAAAAAAACAAAAACAAAAAATCAAAAAAAAAATATGAAATCCATTAGACAAATTCACATCCTCTCAGTAGCACAAGGAATCACCTCAAATTAAAATACACACCCCCCTCCCTTTCAAACTTGTAGGCCTTACACTTCAAGATAGCAACTAATAGTGTGCAGGACACCTTTCCCTTCAGCTTTGAAAAATACTCCTCCAAATTCGTAGGGACTTAGCATCATCGAGATAATGGCTAACATCAGGACGGACAACACATTTCCCTAAAGCTCCAAACCCCCCCCCCCCTCTCTCTCTCTCTCTCTCTCTTCCCAATTTACACAGATTTATACATCTAGGTAATGGCTAACAGCATGCAGCACCACACTATTCCCATCAGCTATGATTCAAACATATAGCTTTTGGAGCTTCACATAATAGAATCATAAAAAATTTCCGACCAGGTCATTACCATGAGTAACTCTCATTTTCATCACTTAGCCTAAACCTTCACATGAAAAAAAACCATTACTACCAAAATTCAGCATTTTCAAAGTATCCTTATCACACACAGGATATAATGATTTAAAAAACATACCAGGTGTTAAGAGCTTCATACTTGAATGACAAAGACAATAACCACAACCATATTTTCCAAATTAATAGTAAAATGTATGTTAAGATAGCAGAAGGTCAGATATAAAGATCTATCTGTTAAGGTAATAAATCTTATAGCATCTGTTAGCACTTCAGGTGGGTTGGGTTACCGCAGAAAATTATAGTCTTACCAATTCTTAATTAGATGGTTTAAAGCAACTAACATAGAATTCATTGACAGCTATAATACAAAGATATGAGCTCAAGAAGCCAATGCTCTGAAACGAAAAAATCCTGAATGTTCTGAATATGTTGTTATGGGTACAGAATTGCCCCTTCAAAAGGTTATCCCCAAGAAATATCCAACACTTTGATTCCTCAATGTTTCATATATATACCTTTAGTCCTCTACACTACACCCTCGGACTTCAAAATCATCCATTGTTACAGGAGTATCTCCATATATATTTTTCTCCAAATCCATAGGTAAGCCTTAGAAGATGGTTTCAGAGATTCAGTCACCCATTGCATAGCTGCTTCAGCAAACCTCATTGAAGGCATGAAATACTAATGAACCGTATGTCTTTCTACTCCCCCCCCCCCCCACCCCACCCAAAAAAAAAAAAAAAAAAAAAAAAAAGGAACCACTGTCAGCTTGGAAATCACAACTGAAAAGTAAACCCCCTACCCCCCACCACCCAAAGACGAATCTACACAAAGACTAAGAGAATGCAGGACTATACCATTCCCTATGGCTTTGTTTCTAACATAATTTCTGATTCTTCACAGACTAAAAATTACCAAGGATTTCCAGACAAAAAGGCACCATGATAAAACACAATGACTAGTTAAGTACCAAACGCTAAGCACTACAAATCATCCTTACCATAGACAGTGCAATGAAATATACCAGGAAAAAGATCTAAACCACTTGTACAGAATATACCATTAAGGCATCCATACACAAAAAAGTTTATCAAAATATATTATTCTTAGATCATCTTAGAGTAGAGGATCCTGATTTGTAGTTTCTATAATATTGTATACTTAAGAACTTCAAGGTGGATAAGGAACAGCAAAAGAGTTGCATCATCTTAAATTCCCGCAAACTAGCCACAGTTAGGGGTTAAAATGAAACTAATTGCTCATCCAGAGCAATGAAAAAGGGGATAAGGTGTCCAATGATACAATTTTCAATTTTTATTTTACCATAATAGCAAAGAAGAATAAGTAAAAATATAGGTCCCAGATGGAGCAGATGTGAGCACAGGAAGGCTGTACACATCTGTAACGATGGGGCCGCCAACAATTTAACAGACTTGTAACTGTATCAGCTACTAATATTAAGCTCTGATACCTGACTTAAGTCTGGTTGTAAAAATATAAATAAAACTACAGGATTATAATTATTCTTTGATAATAAGAAATTACTGAATGATTGAGAGTAGTACTAGGATGGGTGACCTCCTAGGAAGTCCTCATGTTGGTTCATGTAGCCGACCCCTCTTATGGGATTAAGGTGTTCAAGCAAAAGAAGAAGAAGAATAAGAAATTACTGACAAAGTAGTTTATTTAGAGATATATATTTGTTAATAAGCAATTTCTCCACTAAACCATATATCATATTAACCCCTTAACAAATTCAGCAAACAAGATAGAAGATTCTAATGCTGAAAGTTAACATACCATTGATGAATTGGAATATTCTTCACAAGGAAGCAATAAACATACTTTCTAAATAATCCCTAGATGATGCAAATCATGCAATAGGCACAATAAGCGACAAATTATATAGAGGGCTCAAACGAGAGCTGACTAGCCCTTTCAGTGAACCATTAACTAACAATGTCATACGCAAAAAATGAGTTCTATGTGCCCATTTGGGAGTGATGAAGTTTGTAGGAGCAAGACAAACGCTCAGCAAAAACACAACAAGCTTCAAGCAACATTCAGATTATTCTTTACACAGGAATCATCAATTTCAATGATACAATTATGATTATCTGTTTAAATGCTTCAACACATACCAACACATGAGCAATCAGCTAAGTAGAACCAAGTAGAGCAATTCACTTATACCAACTGAATGAAGCAATATCTGGTTAAATGCTTCAACACAAAACCAGGTTTTATGTTAGAATTTAAGGTACCATGAACAATCAGCTAAGTAGAACCAAATAGAGCAAATCACTTAAACCAATTGAATGAAAGCAACAACTAACTGGAGAGCAGGTGTCAATTCAAAGAATATAATTTGCAAGATTAAGGATTGTATAACTCACCAATATTTGATCAGTCCATCCCAGCCACAAGTTGCCACTTTGCTTTGCTCCAAGGGATGCCACTCGCATCCAATACAAACTCCCTCGTGACATTTCAATGTTCTGAAAACCTTACAAGTCTTCCAATCCCAAAACCACATCTTACCCTCACCATCTCCCGACATGACAAACCTACCATCAGGCGAGAAATTAACCTGACAAGCATACCCGGCAACAATATGTCCTGCAAATCTCTTCTTCTTATTAAGCTGGAACCTCTCCCTAGTGCTATATATCAAAATCTGATTATCCAAACTCTGGGCAGCCAGCCAATTGGTATTAGGGTGCACAGATATAGCCGGCATCGAATGCATATGAGGCTCACTAATATACTTAATCACAACAGGAATTCCATACTCCCACACCCTAAGAGACTTATCATCACTGGAGGTGACAAACCTCCTATTATTATCAACAAATGTGATCGTATTAACCGCCCCTAAATGCTGATCATACTCTTGAGTAATTTCACCAGTATTCATATCCCATTGCACAATTTTCTTATCACTCATACCAGCTAAAAGCACATTCTGTTTATCATCATCAGGATTAAGCTTAACAACATAAGGAACTTTCCCAGTAGAGAAAGTAGAGATCACCTGACCAGTCTCAGTATCCCATAACTTGATATTCTTATCATACCCAGCACTCAAAAACTTTGTCCCATCATTGGTAAAACAGATATCCCGGACCGCCTTCGAGTGCCCCATATAAGTCCTCATACATTTCCCCGAACCAAAAACATCCCAAATCTTAACCTTAGTATCCATCCCAGCTGACAGAATCAAATGTCCATACTTTGGGAAAAATCTAATTGCAGAAACACCCTTAGTATGCCCACTCCAAGTATGCACACATCGTTTCGGGATATAACAATGATCATTCGTCGCCTTAACATCTTTCGGAGGCGAAATCCACGGCCTTCCTTGATAATCTTTCTCCTCCTTTCCATGGAAAGTAGTCTTATCAACAACAACTTCACCTTTCTCAACTTTCTCCCCTCTTTCTTCAGCCTTCTTCTTAGCATACTCCTCAGCATACTTCTTCTGCTCTTCTGTCAACTCCGTCGGCAACCCCTCCTTCTTCCCGGCCCACGGGCTCGTCTTATTCTTCACCAACCACGAATCCGAAGCCGGATTCTCAACCTCCGCCTTATCAACAACCTCATCTTCCTCCTCATTCTCTCTCTTCTTCTCTAAACGCCGTCGTTTCTGCTCACTCTGAGGAATATTATACACAGAAATCGCCCGATTCTTCTCCAAAGCGTCGAAATCACCCACATAATTATTAACAGCGGAAGCAGAAGGATCAGCAGCATAACCATACTTATGAAAAGTGTTATACTGTTCATCAAACACGAAGGAATCAATGGCGGCATTTTCAACAAACCCTAATTTGTGATTGCGCAAACCTTGAGCAAGACCGTCTTTAGCGTAGGGATGAGCAGGGCCATAGATGGGGGCCCACAGTTGATCGTAAGTGGGATTGTAGGAGACCAAATGTTGAGTTGGGTCTAAGGGTTTTGCGGCGGAGGAGACGGCGGAGGAGGTGGAGAGGAGAGAGAGTGCAGTGTCATCTACTTTAGGGGCTGCGGATTTTGATGGGAGAGAGATGATTGAGGTTTCTTCTTCGTCTTCGTCTTCGTCTTGTTTGTCAATTTGTTGGGTTTCTGGGTGGTTGGTTTGGTGGGGTTGGACTTGGGGTTGTTCGTCGTCGTCGTCTTCTTCGGCGCCATTGGAGTAGCTTCGAAGGAGATCCATTGATGAAGAAGATGATGAAGAAAAGGGGTTTGATTATTTTGGGGAGGAGAGAGAGTGAGACAGTGATGGAGTGTGAATTGTGAATTGCGAAGTTTGGGATTGGTAAAAATTGAAAATTGGGGTTTATGAATGAAGAATGAAATGAGATTTGAGGAGGAGAGAGGGAGACGAAGGTCAATTGGGTTTGGGTTTGGGTTTGGATTTGAGGACAAAGGGGCGGTTTGGTACGGAAAAGTGAATCAAAAGGGTATTTGAAATCACATTCCCCAAGCCACCAACACCAAAGTCGCCACCACCACCACCACCATCATTGACCACCTCACTAATGACGACCACCAATATCACCACCCTTAGAAATGCTGATCACCTCAAGTCACTGCCCTAATCCGCCAAACTACCTCTAACCCGCCCGGAAACAACCTTGCCAACCACGAAACCAACCCCAACTAACCAGAAATTACTCAACCAATGAAGAAACCACCTTCAAACCGCTGATAACCACCCATCCAACCCCACAAAAACTTCCAACCCACCGAAAACAACCTTATAAATAAACCAAAATAATCAAGAAAAATAATAATAAAAAAAAAACATTTATCAATTTTAGGTTAGATAAGGTCAATTCGAATTTCATGTTTAAATTAAACCTTTGAAACCTTAAATTTACCATTTTCATGGTAGTAACTTAAATAGGAGGGGTAAAGGGAATGATTGAATTTGTCTAACAAACATCATCAAAGGAATTTAAGGTAGTTGATTACCTTACCTTTCTTGAATACCCCCAACCAAACAACCCCTCAGTTTTTTCAAAGAGAGAGAAAGTGGGGCGGCATGGTGGCAATAGAGGGAGGGGCGGTGACATGGAAGAAGTAAATGGGGTGTGGGTGGTTATATGATGGTTTTCTGATCTTTAGTGGTGGTTGTATTGTGGTTGTGGGAATGAATATCTATACTAATCCATTAAAAAAAACACGAGGATAAGAAAATTCAAACATCTAACCTCTTTAAAAAAAAAAAAAAAATGGAAGTCCACATTTAACTCCAAGATAAACGAAACTAGGAAGTCAGAAATTGTAATAAAAACGAAGTTCTAATGTGTAGAAAGAAAAAGAAGGAAAAAGGTACATAACATCTAACTTTAACGTTAGAAAATGTTTCTTAACATGGTTACTAGTTTCTCTTTGCCAAAAACTAACACGCTAAAGTCAGATAACCTAATCAAAATTAGTTCCTAAATTCCTCTAATTAATATAGATAGGGAAGCAGGGTCGAATCCAAGAGGAAACAACGTTCTTCTATTTCTAATTTATTATTACAATCCGAATTGTCAGGGGACAAGTAAGATTGTGGCAATTATACTATGACGATAATTAAACTAAGGGAATAATCAATAATAAAAGGCCTAGGGTCACAGGTTCAACAATAATTAATACTCCGGGATAAAACATAACAATCAACAATTAACATTGCAAACATAACATGATTAATAGGCTCTCGCAATTTATTAACCAACATAGATCTAATAGGCTCTCGCAATTTACTAGATTTAAGTTCCTATTGAAAATAATCTTTAATAAATTAACATCTACTCGATTCATCAATTCAATATTGCTATACATTCACAATCAAATCACATCTGGTCGATTTATAATCCAATTGCAAAGAATTAAAACAATTCAACAAAAAATTATCATGCAATATTAACAATTTATAAATATTACTAAATTAACAACCGTTGATGTCATCACTGCCTACGTGCCACTTTTTTTGTTTAGTTTTTTCCCTCCAAAATGCAAGGACGGTGTCATATATATATATATATATATATATATATATATATATATATATATATATATATATATATATATATATTTTCTTTTTGAGCTACCATATTTAACATTGCTTCGAAAGTTATATTCAAATTGAATTTTTAATTTTGGGTTTTCTACACATATTATGCTACGTATTTAGTTATTTGCGAGTAGTTGTTAAAAATAGTGAATAATATAATTTAATTTATTTTTTATAATTAAATATGAAAATAATGGATTTTTGGGAATTGTATTTTCATATTTAATTAGAAAGTAATTACGAAAACAGAGGAAGTAGTTATCTTCTCTCAATATATATGTGCTAAAGAGTCTATAATTCATTTCTTGTTTTAAAACCGTGCATCGCACGGAGCTAACCTGGTTAATAATAACAAATTATCCCTTCATATGAATTATGGATCCCCCAAGAACCCTAAAATTAAACTACTCACACATATTTAATCTAAACTAATCAAAGCATATAAAGAAAACATGATTAAAATCAAAGTAATCAAAATCAAAGCAATAATTAAAACAATAAAAGATGCGAGAATAATCACTACCGAATGAAGGAAATATGAAATTGCACTAAAAGGGAAAACTTGAGTTCAACAATGATCTCCAACTAAAAATCTCTATAAGAATTTAATAATGAAATCACAATCTAAAAATGTATCTAAAAAAAGTTTACAAAAGAGTTTAAATTCTAAACCCGAAAATTAACAAAAGACAAATCCTAAACACCCCAGGAAAAACACGCGCCCGATCGGGTTTAAGGCCGCTCGATCGGGCCCGCCTTTTTTCTTCTCTCTGTCCTGCTGAGCATCTGCCCAATCGGGCAACTGGTCTTTTCTAGGCCGATCTTCCTCTTTTATTTTCTTTGGGCTTTAAATACTCTTGGCCCAATTTCTTCTTCCTTGGTCCATTGATTGGACCAATTCCACGAACCAAGCCTTTAGTCACCAAAATCCTCGGTCTTGGGCTACGCAAGACGGTCATGAATGTAATCATAAGCTCCGATATATCATAGTGGTCGGAAAATCATAGATTTCACCAAAAGTCGGGAAATTCCTACAAAATAAAGGTCAACTCTACAAAACACTCGAAACCACACATTAGTACCAAAAATAGCTCCAAAGAGCTCAAATATGCATAAAAATGACCGTGGGACGGGGGATAAAATAACATGTAAAATACACATATCATAAACTATTAAGACGTTAGGAGAGAGAAATGAGTGAATCCAAGCTATGGAGAAGATGAATTTTGCAGTTGGGTAATTATCCAGGTGTGTCTATTTTCGTGTAATTCGAATTGTTTGAAAGGTTATAAACCCCCAAAAATGGTCGCCGATCTAAGTCGAAAAGGTATTATCTGAATTTTGCTTAACATATGGTTGTTCAAAAGTTTTAGATCTCATACCATGGTCTCGACAATCGAAATATTGAAACAACAATTCGCCTGATCCTTCAAACACCTTGGGAATTAGGTACTTTCCCATCTCGCATCCACGACACCAAAGTGGGCAACACCTCCCATTTCGTAAAAATTTTGCAGGAGTGATTGAGGATGGTGAATCGTGCCTCACACGTGGTTGAAGTCGGGTTAGTTATGTTAACCAAGGTTAGCAGTCAGTAGACGGAAGAGTTACGCTACGTTTCAGTACCCGATTTTATTTTTTCGCCCTTAGATAAACAGCTGAAGTTAAAAGAGGAGATAAATATGAATTTTCTTAAAAGAAAATTGTTATTTAACCATCTAAGTCAATTATCAACTATTTTATAAACATGAAAATAAATGTATATAATTACAAATCACAATGTCTGTCAAAATTATAATAAAAATAACAACCCGGTGCAACGCCCGGGCTACACACTAGTAATTTATTAAACATACAACTTCATTCCTTACTCTAAGGGTATTATATTTCATTCATTTTGTTTCCTTTTCTTGAGCCCATTCCCTTTTTCCTGGTCATACAAGTAATACTTTGAGCACAAATACACTCTGCACAAATGATAATGTATACACCAATCATATTTGGTAGAGCTGGTAGGAAACTAACCTTGTGACTTCGCTCAAACTCAAGTCACCTAGTGGAAAAAACCCCATTGATAATGGGAAAAAATGGGGTATTCGTGATGGGCACATGGCGTTTTGAGTGCGGCGATTATGATTTACAAAGCATCATTGTGGGGGCAAGGGGTTTGGACGTTGGGGGTAGGGGCAGGAAGGGTGGTTGGATGGGGTGGTGGTTTTTTTTAAAAAAAAATAAAAAGTTTTTTTTAATGATTAAATAAATAATCTAAAAAAATAAAAAAAAAATTAAAAAAGAACCAATCATAGGCCTATAATTAACTATAATGACTAACTAACTTAACCACCCTTAGTTATTAAAGGCATTTAGTGACATTTTCGTGAAACTCATTGGTATATGATGAAATTGAAAATATTAATGGGTATATGGTGAATAAAGTGATAACTCAAGGGTATTTCGTGGGAAAACTACTTAGCTTATTATGTGTTTTGGAAGAGAAAAGTCATTTACGTATTTTTGGTTGATTCATATGTGTTATTTTCCCAATCCATAATTATCTATAACTACAACTAAAGTAATTATTGCTAACATCATTATTTTTCACATGTAAACTATTCATAAAAAAATTTCTTGCCAAAACTATTAGTGACATCATAAATAAATGTTTGAAGATGATATATTAATTATGGTTGGACTATTGCCCTAACATTACCTTTTCACTACTCTGTATATTTATATAGACTAGTGGGAGCGCAAGCAACGAACGCACCCCCTCAATTTGGCCAAATTAATTTCGAGAAATTTAATTACGGTTGTCTTTCGTAATCACTATATTTAATAACAACATAGCATTTCTTGAGCAATTAATGAAAGTCGTATTTCTAATTGAGGTTGGTTATAAAAGGGTTAATTAAGTATACAACATTAAAAAGATTGGAGCTAAAGAGATGGGAGTGATTATTGATATGTTTATTGGAAGTTATCAATAGTCAGTGTTATTGTAACCATGTGATTTTCCTTTTTCAAATAATATTTGTAAAATGAGCATACAGGCAAAGGAATCCCCCTGCTTCCTTTATTTCCCCCAACACTCTCTTTTTCTTGGTCTTGATCTCTTTCTCCCTTCGATCCCTGCTCTTTTTTAACACCTTCATAAATTATAAGTCTCTCTCTCCCTCCCTTCTCACTCTTACCCTGAATTTTCTTTTGGTCTTCATTTTCTCATCTTTTTAGGAATTTTGTGACTATTTGGCTTCTCGACTTTTTACTTCTACATCTCCTCCTTTCCCCCTATACCTCTTTCTAGAAGTCATGTCCCACTTAGCCCTTCTCTTTTACTCATTCCATCACTCTCTTTTTATGATTCCGTGTAATTGACAAATAAATAA